GATGTGGTGCCGCGGCGCGAGGGTCTCCGCGATGTGGCGCTGCATATGTGCACCCTCTGTTGGCTTCGCGTGCATGGCGCGGCGCGAGGACTGCTTCTGTCGCGCCGCGGAGGTGCGTCGCGCCGCGGAGGTGCGTCGCGCCGCGGTGAGTGCTGCTGTCGCGCCGCGGTGAGTGTCGCGCCGCGGTGCCTGGCAGCTCGCCCTTCTTCGCGTTTCGGGCTCGTTTACGCTCGTTCGGACTCCTAATTCGATTCCGTTTTTTCCTACGCGTAGCTAACGAACTCCTCTTTCTAATGGTGTCAGCTTCCCCAAAAGAATCGTGAAAACCTGTTCTCCCGAGGTCTCCAAACTACACACCAAAAACAAAAAGAGAACAGAAAAAGACCGGAAAACAAACAGAAAACACCGGAACACTCAAATGATGGCAAAACACATAATAAATGATAAAAAGAACCTAAAACCAACTAAATGACTCAAAATGGGGAAAAAAGAATAAGAAAATAATAACAAAAAATGCAACAAAAATGGGACAAACAACTCCCCCACACTTAAACCTTTGTTCGTCCCGAACAAAAAGAAAAGAAAACAAGACACGAGCGTGGATATTGTTTCAAATAAGAAGAGCTCCAAAACGTCTAACTCGATCAAGTCGAATTCCAACGACCGTATGACCATATGCCTCAAATATCTACTTGACCTCGAAATGACAATCTCTCAAAGTATAGATCATCATATATGCCTCACTCATTTTCTTATATGAATATGTGATAGGTACACTCAAAATTGGTCAAAATTCAAGTTTCAACATATGCTTGCCAATCGTTTAAATTACTCGAAGACAATCAAAGCACAAAATATGCGAATCAAGAGGACTTCACGGGTTGTAATGCGGGTTTAAGGAAGGATATATATGCCAGAAAAGAAGCTCAAATAAACAACAAAATTCTCGAGAAAATAAATTACTCGAGTTCTCCGCTACCAATCTAGAATAACAATATAACACATTCACCATCCACCAAACAACTCCACAAACAACACCTCACTGCCCTAATCGAATTGCAACATCACTTGACCCAGTTTTTTGATTTTTTTTTTTTTTATAAATATCTTTTTTTATTCGGAGAGTAACTTTTTCCGAACAAGATCGAATCAAAAGGACAACATTCTGTAGGTGTGAACATTGGAGGTCTCCAAGTGTCCTACAGTAGTTTCAAATGCTCATTACCCGTCAACATGAATCGACCAGTAAGAGGAGCAGAATCCATTCGAATCGCCTTGTGAGCTCTCATTTTTTTTCAATATTTTTTTTTTTTTTGAACTGGTCAAGCAAATAACAATGCAACTCAATATCCACCATATTCAGAAATGCCACCAATTCCCCAGTCATCACACAAATCAGTCAACAGGTTGACAAGAAAAGGTTTTAAGCTCAAACGGGCTACTAGTGGAGAAATAAATTTTAGGACAAGGAATAAGGCAGAAGTGAGCTAATCAAACAAAACGCCTCAATCATATTCGCAATTTCAAACTCTAATCGATTCCTTTCAAACAAACTCAAGGCAAGTTCTAATCATTCAAGAATATGACCAATATCTCACAAGAAAAGAATAAGGCTCAAAACCTCACAAGGTAAATAAATGTCACTCAAGGCAATCAAGCAACTACCGAGGCAATGACCACACGTTCATCATCACAACTTCCCAATATCATCAAACATTCATCAACAATTCATACTATCCACCAATATCACACTCAACAACACAAAAACCTAACGCTAGACCGGTCCACCATATAAACATGCAAAATCCAACTAGACTCCCCCACACTTAAAATGAGGCAATGACCTCATTGCTTCAACATAAAACCAAGAAGTCAAATAAAGGACCTAACAATTCACATAATGAACCACACTAGCAACAATCACAAGGCACAGACTCAAAAGAAAAGACGAGAGAAAGAGAACTCAAAAAGAGAAAATAAGAAAAGGGTGTGCAAACCAAAGTGCCTCGAGAAGAATAAGCATCCCAATGCAAGTCACTCGCCTATGCTCAGCCTCGCAAACTCGTACCTGCCAATAAGAAAATCACGAAACTCCAAACTCCCATTATTCCAAGATAAAGCTAAAAAGCGAAAAGAAAAATATCTAATAAAGCAGTAAATCACTTGGGTTGCCTCCCAAGAAGCGCTTGTTTATCGTCATTATCTTGACGAAACCTGAGGGGGACTCAACCCGGATCTAGGAAGAAATGACGGTCGTGCCACGCCTTCGTGTTTTCCAGAAGTGGTAGCATGAGGAGCTTGGCGAGAAGGCTGGCATAGTGGATTTGGGTGGCGATGTTCTTCTTGAAGCGGGCTCGGGCACGAGCAATCCCCAACTCTAAACGCAGAGCTTTTCCCACACGAGCTCTGTCGTCGACCTCCGGAAGTATAAGCTCATCTGTGGAGCAAGTCGAACTGAATACTCCCCACTTCGTAACACAGTGCAACGGCATCAAAGAAGGATGCTCCAACTCCGAGGTGGGAGGTGGGACTTGAGAATCAAGCCCATGGATCCCCTTCTCTGAAATATCATCAATGACTCGTTGGAGCTCATCCTCTTCTTCTTCGGCCTCACACATTTGCTTCATCGTGCGGGCTTGAGTATCAAGCATAGGGTGAGGGACGTCGACTTTTGCCTCGATTGAGCTGGTATGTGCTGCAAGAATCTCTATTTGTGTGCTCAGTCGAGCACACCCGAGCTCAATGTCCACATCTCGAGTGGTCAGGGCAGATATGTGAGCAAGGATGAGGTCGAGCTTTTCATCGAACGACAAAGTAGTCTCCCGAGGCTCGTCCTTATGTGTAGGTTTGCCTTGAGAGGTGGGCTCGGGAGTGACATTGGTAACTCGATCCTCTAAGGCTTGCACGCGCTCCACAAGATTCTCGATTCTGGACTCCAGATTGCTCCTACGGGCCACTTGGGATGCTAGAAGAGCGAGAGCCTGGTCGAGCTTTGCATTGTACTCAGAAGAGTCCTCGAAAGACTCATATGGCTGCTCAACAGGCCCGTAATCCCACTGCTGCTCGTAGGGATATGATAAAGTCTGGCCGAAATCCCAAGAATCATGGTAAGGAGGTGGTTGGGCACACTGCGCTGCGGTTTCTTCTTCCAGAGCTAACCGGGATGTTGCGAAAGCGTAGATACGGTCGAGCTTCTCGTTAAACTCGTGGGACTCATAAGTTTGCTCGACAGTGTAGGGGTCCCAACACTGCTCGGAAAGGTATGAATATGGCTGGTAGTGATGCCCGGTGGAATGGCTCGGCTCGTTAACCCAATATTGGGTGTGCGAATAGGGGAAAGTATGGTTGTAGCTCATGATACCTGCACACCAAAGCAGAACAACCCAAACGTAGCCACGAAGAGAAAACAAAAACAAAATAGACAAAAGGAAAGCAAAGAAGCACAAAAAGAAGAATAAAAACACGAAAGACACAAAATAAAGAGAAACACGGAAAACAAAATCAATACCAAGACCAAATATCCTACTTGTCTTCCCCGGCAACGGCGCCAAATTTGTTGTAGCAAATTATTTTTATTTTTACCGAGAACCGAATCAAAAGATTCGTTCCCCGGGTCGATCTCTCAAGGAAGACGGTTCGGAATTTAGCATTGGTATTGATCACACACAAAAAGAAAATAAATCCTAAACATTCTAATCACGATTGATTTGGAGAGTTAACTAAAACAAGACAAAACTAGAAAAGCAATTTAAAGAAATAACAATTAAATTTCTAGAGAAAAGGAAGAAGTTCTAGGGATCGGGAAATCTCATCAAGTCTTAAACTATGTTGAACGCTTATTTGTTCGGTTACGAGATTTAACAAGCTTACACGTCTAGAGGGCTATGCTCAATAACTCTTCGTAACAAGAGCACATACATAAACGATAAACTTATTCAAACAAGCAACACATAGACAATACGTTTTCGAACATGTCTACTCTATACGAGCCTAAATCGACCAACGCCTCCCCTCTCGGTTCTAAACGTCGATTAACTAGGTTAGAATGGTGATCAATCAACTAACCCTATAATTCACACAACTCGCATAGGTTGAACAAAACACATTCCACATAATTCAAACAAGAATCAAAATCCCTAACCATAGGTGAATAGATTACCTCATGCTTAGATTCAATCTCATGTTAACTGGAATTAAGAACATAAAACCAATCAACAATAATAAAGTAGAATTGAAAAACTTACAATCGGATTAAGACTTGAAAGATTTCAATCCAGATGTCTTTGTGTCCAACAATCCAAGCATGAAAAAAAATAAAAAGAAAAGCGGAGAAAATTATCCTAAAATATTGAGTTTTTGGAGAGAAAACTTGAAAGGAACGATATTGGAGGTTGTTCCTTAGGTCTGGATGTTCGTTTTCATATATAGTACGTGAAAAACGGAGCTAAAACGAGTAAAAACGAGCAAAAATAAAAACAGGGGACTCGCGAGTCGCGAGTTGGACGGGTCGCTGGGCTACTAGAGGCTCTGTTAAAGTCGCGAGTCGCGACTTTTCTCTCGCGAGTCGCGACTAAACTCGCGACTCGCGACTTTGTGCTCGCGACTCGCGAGATTCTGGGCTGCACTGCGCCATTTTACGTTTTGGCCTCGTTTGAGCTCGTTCGAAGTCGGAATTGAGTGCCGTTTTTTTCCTACGCGTAGCTAACGAACCCCTCTTTCTAATGGTGTCAGCTTACCCAAAAGAATCTTGAAAACCTGTTCTCCCGAGGTCTCCAAACTACACACCAAAAACAAAAAGAGAACAGAAAAAGACCGGAAAACAAACAGAAAACACCGGAACACTCAAATGATGGCAAAACACATAATAAATGATAAAAAGAACCTAAAACCAACTAAATGACTCAAAATGGGGGAAAAAGAATGAGAAAATAATAACAAAAAATGCAACAAAAATGGGACAAACACTCGCGGAGCTTGGGAGCGCCTAGATGCGTGTTTGAATGGATCGCTGCGACGGTTCTCGGGCTCGCGGAGCCTGGGAGCGCCTAGATGCGTGTTTGAAGAGATCGCTGCGGCGGTTCTCAAGCTCGCGGAGCTTGGGAGCGCCTAGATGCGTGTTTGAAGAGATCGCTACGGCGGTTCTTGGGCTCGCGGAGTTTGGGAGCGTCTAGATGCGTGTTTGAAGAGATCGTTGCGGCGGTTCTCGAGCTCGCGGAGCTTGGGAGCGTCTAGATGCGTGTTTGAAGAGATCGCTGCAGCGGTTCTCGGGCTCGCGGAGCCTGGGAGCGCCTAGATGCGTGTTTGAAGAAATCGCTGCGGCGGTTCTCAGGCTCGCGGAGCTTGGGAGCGCCTAGATGCGTGTTTGAATGGATCGCTGCGGTGGTTCTCGGGCTCGCGGAGCCTGGGAGCGCCTAGATGCGTGTTTGAAGAGATCGCTGCGGCGGTTCTCGGGCTCGTGGAGCTTGGGAGCGCCTAGATGCGTATTTGAAGAGATCGCTGCGGCGGTTCTCGAGCTCGCGGAGCTTGGGAGCGTCTACATGCGTGTTTGAAGAGATTGTTGTGGCAGAGCGAGTCCAATGCCTCCTGGCCAATCGGTCTGTGAGGGCCTCGTTGTGGTAATAGTAAAAGGGTCTTTCTGAATCCCGAGAGTCCTTGTTGCGACTAACTCCTTCGTAACTTGATCCTGAAGCCATTTTCGGGTTCTAGCCCCTTCGACGGCTTATGAGGGCCGTCGAAGACACGAGGCCGCCGAGCACCTCCCAAGGCCGAGCACCCGCTGAAGGCCTCGCGCCGAGCACTCACCCACGCCGAGCACTCGCCCATGCCGAACATTCACCATACGCCGGGCACTCGCCATACCGGATGATGCCGCGCCAGTCACTTCATCCCGGCCACCTCCAATGCCGAGCACTTGAGGGGTGTCAAACATCATGCGACGCCGAGCACTCTTAACCGCCCGACTACCATAATGCTTAGCCGGTCCTCTCCATACTAACAATGACGACCGGGTCACGACCTGTTCCTCACGAGCCACTACTAACGACCACATCACATATAATCTTAAAAATTAAATTTTAAATTTTTTTATTTTGTAAAAATAATATAAAATTATAAAATAACAAATCAATCGGGTGTGATCCAATCAAGTCAACTAATAAATAAAAGGAAAAAATCTCTAGGTCCCCCTATTATATTGCTCTTTTTTATTTATTCTCTAATATAATAAAGTATAATTCTTTTTCCTACCCCTTAAGGCTTTGTTTGGTTCGGAGGAAACGGAGGGGAGGGGAAGGGAGGGGAGGGAAATTTTTAGTTTTCCCTTGTTTGGTTCGATTTTAAGTAAGGGGAGGGATTAAGATTTTCCCTTCAAATCCCTTGGAGGAGGGAAAATACACACCCCTCCAAAAGTGGGGGAATTTGGAGGGGAGGGAAAATTTTTAACATCAAATTACTCTTTTGACCTTATTGTGAATTATTTTATTTTTTTTTCTTACATCATTAAGGATATATTTGTCATTCTAACATTATTTTCCCTCCCCCTCCATCTTCTAACCAAACAAGGTTAATCATTTTCCTTCACCTCCCTCACTACAAAATCCATCCAAACAAAGTAAAATATTTTCCCTCCCTTTCCCTCCCCTCCCCTCCCTTCCATTAAATTCCCTCCCCTCCCCTCCCCTCCCGTGAACCAAACATAGGCTAAAGGAAGATAATTAATTCGTGAGAGAATAAATAAAATTAAGATACCCTAGCATTATTTAACTAGTACGTAACCCGTGCGATGCACGGGACAAAAGTATTAAATGGGTCATTTTCACAAAGCTTGTCCTTTAAGTAGCTCGTGCGATTCACGGGAGATATTAAATGAGTAGATCATCGGGCTTGTTCGTTCAAGCCTAAAAATTGATAGAGTTTGATCATCTATTTTATTACCTCTTTTCATCAACTTCATTTTTTTTTTCAGGACATTAAACAGAGCCTGGTAGTGCTAGCCCGTAAATTAATTAATATATTATCTAGTTAACATGGTTATAATAATATAAATTTGATTTCATTATATATATATATATTTATTCCTTGATATAAGAAAAATAACAATTTACGTAATCTTGTTCCTCGTATAATACTCATATTATTTTATTATAAAACTTATTGTAATATAATGCTATTATTATTATTTATACATGTTATTGATGTAGTCTTCTTCTTTTTTTTTTTTGTTTTATGTAATTAAAATTGTTAATGTATGTTAATATTATTTATTAATGTAATTAATTTAAATTATGTAAATAAATTTAAAGCA